ATAAAAGAAGATAATAATAAAAGAACACTAGGATGCATTTGGCCCAGTCTCTCTACACTTCCCTCAAACTGATCATAGATGTCACAATCATGTCCTGGTTGTTTATATAATGTAGTAACTTCCCCTTTCRGAGCTCTCTTAGTCAAGACATCAGCTAATTGCTCTTCAAAAGCAATAAATGACAGGATGGCTTCCCCCCGAAGCGACTCTCTCCTGTATGAAATGTCTATCTACTTAAATATGCTTTATTTTATCATGCTAAATAGGATAATGAGCAATGTTGATAGCTGTTTGATTATCACACTATAACATCATTGGCTTTTCATAATCAATGATCTTTAACGTTGCTCTTTTTCCTTTCCTAATCTTTAACATCTGTCGGTCCTTGCTTTTGCTTTCCTCAAACAGCAGTTTCTTTGCTTTGATCCCAACCTCCTCTCTCCATCTTGTCACCGGACAGAACTCCTCTCTCCATCTCTTCCCTCATTACTTTGGAACCAAGGTTATTATTATAACTACTTTCTAAAATATCCAATATTGTATCACAGGTCAGCTTAAGGCTGTTTGTATTTTTGTCTGATCCTTGTACTCAGCAAACTTTCTGTGATAATGAATGAAATTCAGCACTGTAATTATCAAAAAATAAATTATATACAAGATGACATAACATAGATCTTGGGATAGTGGGAAGCACCGCTCAAAGTCCCCACATGGATTTCCTAGGATGAAACCATCGCTTCTACATTTTTTTCTGAGATGCATGAGGAGGATGTTGAATTATCAACAGTATAAAGTTATCTTGAGAACAAGCATTTAATATAATCTTCTTTTGACCTCTGACATCTAGGCTGGAAGCCACCAATTAGCTGCTCCTAGATTTTAAGCATTCACTATGAAGTTTGATGAGTACCTTAATTTTCTTATAATTGTATCTGAAACATCACAGTATTCTCTATGTACTCTCAATTGAGTTTCACAAGTCTATGTGCATGTATGGTGTTACCTTTTTCTAAACAGGTTTTTTAAGGCACAGTTATGTGGTTTTATGGTTGAATTCATGCTTGTTTCTTTGATGGCATTGCAGGAATGGGGTGATCCACGGAAAGAAGAATATTATTTCTACATGAAGTCCTATTCCCCTGTTGATAATGTGAGAATGTCAACTCTTTTCTTTTTTCACTTTTTATCATCTTCCCCCTTTATATTCTATTTTTGTGCAGCCTATACTATCTTGAAGCTTATATTGATTATTGTTTGGCACTAATAGTTTGTGGTTGTCCTAAAGAAAATTATGCTTTCATGATTTTCAGTATCTTCATTATTTATCAAGTCATGGCAATTGATTAGTTATTGTAGTTGATCATCTTCTAATTTTAAAAGATTCAAATGCTTGACAAGAAACTTGTATGTAAGAATACAAGGGGTAGGGAGATCTGCTAATGCTATGGCTGACTGTTTAGCCAAGCAAGGGGTAACGAGGGAACTTTTTTATTGGGCTCAGCTGTAATATTTAGTGTTTGAAGGGTTGGAGAGGTCACAGTTCGTGCCTCTCCAAGTGTCTTCTGTAAAAGTTGCTCCTAATTTCTTTCTCTAATAAATTCTTCATTTATCAAAAAACAAATAAATATACTTTCTAAAAATGGTAAGCCCTTGTCATTAAGTATACCTTCTTTTTTTTTGCAGATTAAGCCACAAAATTACCCAAATATTCTTGTTACAGCTGGTTTAAATGGTAAGCAAGTTGCTTTGATTGTGTGCCATTGGTTTCTTCTTGTCATACATGTCAGGAGAACCTTTCCTGCTTTTGGTCTCCTCATTGTTGATATTTACAGAAACTACCTACTACATGCTATTTCTAATTGGGAAGGACAAAATCTTTCTGGTTACCTACAATGTGCTTTGTGAAACAAAGAAGAAAACAGTAGACGGGAAGAGTAGAGAAAGAATAGGAAGATTTGGTAGTTGACCTTATTATTTAGTCAACCAATGACAGTGATTACAGGATTGCTCTTATATATGTGCATGTGTATTTTAACATTTCCCCTCAAGCTGAGCATATATATTGTTATGCCGTGCTTTCCCAATATACATGAGTTTTGCTTTCATCCATATTTGTCAAGGTGACACCTACTCAATACAGCACTCTGGAAGAGTTGCCTCGCCCAAATGCCTTAATTTATATGCAAGACATCACATAATATTTTTATATTTTCTTTATGTTATTAATAGTAGTACAATAGATTTTGTTAGGCTAAATTATTCATATTTGTGGGATTATAGTACTAATATTATTATTTGTATACTACTTTCTTTTTTATTATTTTCTTATTTGTTTGGGTTCAATCGACACACAAGTCAGTGACAATAGTTTTTGACCCTTTAAGACTTTAAAACCTGAATTGATAAGAACAGTCAATAGGACTTCCTCTTCATCTTCTTCTGAGGATCGAAATAAGGGCGCAACCCTTTTTTGCTGAATAGGTCTCAGCCCTTATGTTTTGTATGTTTTCTTTCTCTTCTTATCATTCTGAGTATCAGCATCCTCACCCCTAGTCCAAGCTCCACCCCTTCAAATTCCTCCTTTGGGCCACTCAACATCGTTGGCATTGGAACAGAAAAGCTTTCTAGAGATGGAACAACATCATCCTTCTGGAAAACTGGTGCACTCAAAACTGCAATTACTTGCCAATTTCCTGTTCGCGATCCCCAAAAGGGTGATTGTCCCAAATGCCTCTTCAACCACATATTTTGTCAACATGTTCCTCAACACTCATTCCAATACTCCTCTTTCCATCTCTGTCATAACTGGTAATCACCCAAACCAATTATTTTCCTTTCCCCTTCACGCCTTAGAAGAGTCAACTCTAAACAAGGCCCCAAAATTTTTAATCTTAAACCGCTTGAAAATACAGGAACTCCTTTTATCAACCTGTAACTTAGTCATCCAGTTATTAAGTCTATTCTTGAACTTCTTGAAAATCCCCGTACTTGAGCCTCCAACCAACCTCACATTCCTACATGTCTCTTCAGATTCTGAGGTCACAGACTTTTCCTTTCCTTTTTCAATTCTAACCATTTGGCTTGTCACATGTCCCACTGCACCCATTTCCATGTCAACTACATCAACGGATAATAAATGGATTGGATTCTAATGGATTGAATCAAGCAGTATCTGAATTCGATCTGATTAACAAATGGATCAAATTTTCAAATATGATTCAATCTGATTGTGGTTTGATAGGCCAAAGCTGACTTAAATAAATTGGAGTTTAATTCAAACTGATTAAATCAGATTTGGTTACTGATTTGAGTCAACGTACTTGTCTTCCCTATGTTTACTGCTTTGAGTCATCCTGATCCTTCCATTTAACCACCATATGATTATCTATCTCTTTCCACAATAAAAATAGGGAAGTACATTGAGACACATTGAATAGTCCCAACTATTCTTCAATGTTGTCATAATAATATGCTTTGTCCAGGTAGAAAGAACTACTTTTATGCTCACTATGATTATTTAGTCCCATAAAATTTTGCTCAGTATATCTATTGGGTAGATTCAGCAGCCGTTGGGTCTTCAGCCTTACATTATGAAATGTGTTCATTCATTCAGTAAAATTGCAGGAGGCAGTCTTTCATATCCCTTATAGTATGATGCACATATTTTAGTATTTAAATTCTGGCCTTTTATGTTGAAACAGATCCCCGAGTTATGTATTCTGAACCAGCAAAGTTCGTGGCAAAGATGAGGGAAATGAAAACTGATGATAATATACTGTTATTTAAATGTGAGCTTGGTGCTGGCCACTTCTCGAAGTCAGGAAGGTAATCATTTTGAAAATTCCGTTTCTTGCGAACAACTAAACTATGAAAAGTAGCATGGGTATGGGCCTGTAACCCCAATGTACTGATTGTAATATAAATATGAAACAAAAGCAGGCAGTGCACTATTTCCGCAGTCCACAAAGAGTAGGAACTGGGGGTAGATCCATTATTGGCAATAGCATCGGTTAGACCATTAACCTCTTTACAGGGAAGGAAACAATGAAATGTGGAAAATAGCCACTGTCGTCGTGACTGTCTTAAATAATGACATATTTATCAGTGATGGTAAATTTCATACATCATATAGTGATGTAGTAGGTCCTATGGGAGCTAGGTAGGCTACTTGAGGGAATGACTCAAGAAGATAATTGCAGCTTGAGGAGAATTTGTTTATCAGAGCTATCTAAGATGTATAACTTGTAAAGTTTCCTAAATCAAATTTAAGAATCTAAGAGTTTCTCTACGAACCAATGGAATTTGTGAAAACCAATTTAGTAGGTCTTGGAATGGAATTTTGTATACAAGATTGATATTTAAGGGAAATTAAATTTGGTAGGGTTCCAGGTGAAAATTTTTGGTTGAAACCAAGTGTAAAGAATTGTAATGAAGAATTATGTGTATGTTCAAATTTGAAGAGGTCAAGCAAGTTTGTAATAGAAAAATGAAAATTTCCTTTGTGAGAGAAAGTTGGGAGTTCCTAGAATTTAAAAAATTGCAAAATGGAAGGAGACTTACTCGGGTATGTTGGAGGATGCTCATGGAGTATAGTGATGCCTTTGTGTCACGGGGCTAATCGACGGGGCCCCGTGCGGCGCTCGATGGGGTCGAGAAAGCCTACAAATGCAAGCAACAACACACAAAAGGAAACAAGAGTGCACACAAATTAGACA